TGCCTCCACCGCAGAATCTATTGACGATAACTCATGCACAAAGCCTGCCAAGAAGGGCTTTGGTCAAAATATTGTGATTGAAAACAATCAGTGGCTGCTATCGCCTCCTGAAAAGAAATAAATACGACATGAAGATGATTAATCCTCTTTTCTACTTTTGGTAGTACATATTGCTGATTTTTTTTTATGGAAAAAATTGAAATGCACTAATATTGTCTTGTGGTTGTAAGGCCCCGACAAGCATTCAGTTGCAGTTTACATCCGTGTCCGTCCAAAGTAAATGTGCCAGATGTAAGGAAATTCCAACAAAGCACTTCTGATATATTATCTTCACAAGAATAAGATGGATGCGAGGTCACAGTGACCTTACTTAGGTTCTTCCTAGTGGTAAAAAATGTGAAGAAATTCCCTGCATGCGTTCCTAAGTGATAGCGTTCACAAGAATGGGAAGAACGCACGGACAATCAGAAAACATAGTGCCTCCGGCTACAGTAAATAAAACTGATATTTTGTTATTTACAATAATACTTGCTCTTGCATTTCCAGAGACCTCAGCTTCCTGAGAAACATTACTGAACAAACTGTTGCAGGCACTTGCTGTTGCTGACCTATGAAACCAATCAGCAGCTGAACAAAGTGCAAAGTGAAACTTCTCAAGGGAAAGAGGATAGCTGAAGGATCTGGAGGGAGGCCAACGAATTCACTGAAAGATGTGTGTGTAGGCAGTATCCAGGCAGGAAGGAAGAATGAGTATGCAGAATGGTTTGGCTCCGTTTGATAACAGAACAAAATATCCCTATGTTTTTTGTGAATCGCAAGCAGTTTAGCTCGGGGACAATACAAACACTATTATCTATTGTTCTTTCGTACACTTTTTATCCCAGTCTAATCTCTTTTTGAGGCCAAAGACATTTTGTATTGAAAAACAAAGAATTCAACTGGTCGTTACATTTTTGACCTGATAAAGATATTCAATAAGTCTACTTCTAGCTTTGTAGTCTGGAGTTACTTCACAAGTGTGGGGGAAAGCTATTCCAGTCAAAGGAATTCTAATACATGTTTATTTGACACTTTTTAAGAATAACCTCTGAGTCACTCAGTTTATATCGCATGCTGTTGAGTATAAACTCCAAATATTATAAACATTTAAAAAGGGGTTAAATGAACCTGTTAATCTGACCTGTTCCTCGTCCAAAGTAAATGAGTCATGACCACTTCAAGCTGCACCAAAGTCTATTTTACACACCCACAAACACTGTGTGAACCACAGAGGAAGATACGAGAGGAAGTATAAGCACTGAACAATTAAATAGATATGTCTGTGCTTGCACCATGTTTAAAATTCTGCAGCACTTGTTATTGCAAAAGGCAGTGTGCAAACTTGGCAGATTCTGTGGCTTACTGGTTCCAAGTTACATATCCCATCTCTCAGCATTATAATCAAGCAAAGTCCCTTCCTGTCTGCTGGGTACAGGAAGGTCGCTGTGACAGTCACAGGGCTGCCAGCTGAGGTGGACACAAATTGTTTTGCTTTTAAGTTCCCACTGCGGCACAGGGTCAACATGTAGAAAAAAAGTCAGAGATGGCACCTAAACATTTGAATTTTGGAATCTACTAGTTGAGATTTGAAATACAAAAGTAGGTTTTTACAGAACAATATGGATGAAACATGAATTATATTACTTGAAATTATATTTTGGGATATAAAATCCGTTTTTTTAATACTTTGAGACAATGGATATAACTTTGTTTTTATCCAAAGCTGATTTGGACTTTCGTGAAGCAGCAGGGACACTGAACACACCGACACGTTCAATAATAATTCAAATGTTAGTTTCCTCTTTAGAGCACATGGAGTCAAGATGGACAACAGCCCTTCACGGGTGTGTGAAAACTGAGAGCAGCTCATGATGTCACATGGAAATCAGATGCTACAGATGTTATTTCAACCATCTGGTGAATATCAGAGTTTGTGCATTCTATAAAAAATCTGATACAATAGATTTTTTTTATGTAATTGTGTACCTTATATTCAAAAACGGATCTAAGATGATTTGTTTTTGTAGTGGTTGTTCATATCATATCAACAATTGACAGGAAATACACTTGATCCCAAGCCGTCCAAGCTGTTTCCTGGCAACGTAATGACTTTTGTTCAGGTCTAGTTTATAGGAATATACATACGGACACCAATAATGTCTAAGGTTCCCAACTTTTTAGCGCCACAGACCCGGATTTGATAAGATTTAGAGACTGCCATGTGAAAAGACTTTGTTTGTTAGATATGATTAAGACCAGAGTTTTATATTTAGCTTAACTTGCTTGATCAGCATTACAGTTGAGGAAGTGAAACCTACGACCACAAAAGTCATCCTCCTCACTTCTATATGGCATTAAAAAGAGAAAATCAATGATTGTCTATTTTCAAGGGAACTCTGGAACTCTTCAAAGAAGTCATGGGGGTCCTCTGACCAAAGGTTTAGAACAACTGAGCTAACACTCAAGCAACACAAGAAAATAAGATAATATTTTGACTTGTGAGAAATTGTTTTTAAAAATAATGCCAAGCATGGGCAGTTTATCCTGACCGTAGACTGTATAAAGATCCTGACTTACTGTGACTGGTATTAAGTGTTATATCTGTTAGATAGATAAACACAACTTTATACTGTTTTAGATCTATGATGCTTCACTACAGCAATCATTACACAACCTTAATAACTTATACTCTCAGAACATAAAGCATGTCTGCCAATGTCCCAAGGCAATGAAAGTAGGACCTTTTAAACACAATGGCAAGAGAATCAAATGAAAGAAACACACAATGGGAGCCTGCTGTGCAACAACTCAATGCTGTTAGTTTGGGGACTTGACAATAATGTTAAAGAATTGTGGCAGTAAACAAGAAGGAGGTTATGATGCAATGGGGGCATTTGTCAAATCTCAGAGAGAATTCATCATGACTCAAACCTGTAAAAAAATAAAAGGAATCTTGTGTCTGAGGTGATGAAGCAGAGTCTCTTCAGGTGGTTTTGAAACTAAATGACAACATGTCAATTATGGCCAACACCATAGCAATCAACATTATGGAGCCACATTACAACATCAACCAGATAAATGCCAACAATAGTGTTGAATCATGATGAATAACGGGGGTTACTGTCCTAATGATACATTCAATGGCCTCACAGAATCACATATCATCTAGGAAGAATGTATAAGAGGTGGAAAATACTTTACTCAACTTCTTTTAAAACCCTTTCCCTTTAAATCTCTAAAACAAGTGTCTGGGGAGTATTCTTATGAAACACAGTAATTGTATTTATGAAACAAATAAGTATGTTGTAGTCTAATTATAGATGATTTAGAAGGGAAATCATGTTTTTACTGCATTAGGCACTGGCAGTGGTTTGGCCCGTGGTGATGCACCAGTGTTGATACTATGATATATTTTACAACAGTAAACATCAGCACTCTTGCTGCATTGACATTAGCCCAACCTGTGGCCAGCTGAGGCCAGCGTTTACAGCTAGGTGAAAGCAGGTAAAACAAAACCACACATTATCATGCTCACCACATAGGTTGATCCATTTTCTCCCGAGCGAACCTCCGTTTCGGGTATGGAAAAATGCATTTTAGCTCGAAACACAGCCTGCTGCCTGAGTCCTTGAACGCCACTGCAGCTTTCCGATGGAGAAGAAGACACCACAGTTCCCCACAAAGTCTCTGCAGTGACTGTCGGCGGTGACTACAGAGGAGGAGGAGGCTTCACACGGTTTATCCACTTGTTTGTAAGTCCGTAAAGGGCTGCCAGGCTGGAGGAGGCTGCTGACGACTTTAATATCTGTCCAACAACTCATGTACCAACTAGCATTCGCATAAAACTTCTCCCACGTCAGTGTCAAACTTTTCCCACTGCTGTCCCCGCAGCAGCCATGTTGCAAGTGTTAAGTAATTGCACCTCCGTTTTTGGCGTTAAAATATCCTCTTCCCCTAGTTGAAAAAAATGTTTGATAGCTTAAAACCACCTACTGTAATATTTGAGTTTCAACGTGTACAGGTAACTGTTTTCATGAGCGTAACCAGATGAAGTTTCGGGATAAAAGGTGCAGTTGCTTCCTGCAAACCTCACAGCGTCGCAGAGCCGATGGCAAAACCTCTCCAAATATGAGGGGAGACAGTTGCACTTTTGTGGTTTGGCTTGTTTTTTCTGCCTCCTATATTTGCTGATGAAAAATCAATGCGGCGAGGGAGGAAACTCATAGATCAAATGTGATAAAATCGCAGAGAAAGCAGATGTACCAGGGCCGTCAAGCCATTATGTGTTCAGTGTATCTAGTGGCCCATCAAGAGGCATTGCAACAATCCTTATGGGCGAAACCATCTCGGTTTCAGCCGGGGGTTGTTCATATTACGCGAGTAAGGAATAAATAGCACACTAGCATAATTTCCAACACATATTTTACAATTGATAAAATACCTGTATAATATAACGTTTTAAATATAAAAAACATGTTTTATTATTTATTTTGAATCTTGTAAAAATATTCTTACTAGAAGTCCCAATTGTATTTGGTGCATCCCAAAGTGACAGTGAAAGCGCAGTCAAAATTCATTAGTCAGAAAAAATGCGTCTACATTTTGTCAACAATTTGAGAAATGTAATGAAATAGGTCTGTTAATGTTATAATCTATATTGACTTGTTGTAGACTTAAAATGAAGGGACAATGGTCGAAGGTTTAGAAGGTATTACATACATAATTTATAACTTGCAATACAATTAAATTAAAGCAAAGGCTTTTTTACCTACAAAAGATATTCTTTTAATACGTTTAAATTTTTCAGCAAAAATAAAATAAAACAGATGTTTCCTTTATGTATTCAGTAGCTGCTGTGTTTTCTATTATTGTACATGAATTGCTGCAAATTGAGTGTATGCGCAATTTTAGCGCAAAATTAAGTTGGATTTGTGGATAAAGTGTTGGAACAGCTTCCTGTCACGTGTCCGCTACAGTAGGATCATATGACTTCAGTCGATGAAAATGAAAGCTGGGTGCAGCCAGCTTAAACCTGCAGTGCTTATTTTGGTCTTTAATTTATGTTTTTACGGAAGTTATCAAGTAACCGATCTGCAGGTAAGACTTGGATTTGATATTGTAACATCTGCAGTTTGTTACCGGTAACCACATAGTACACAACAGCATGTTTTATGTAATTTAGCTGTTGTTGTTTACAACCGGTTTTCTCCTTCGTCATGATCTGTAACTGCAGATATGTGAGCTCTGCAGCGGTGCTGTCCTTAATGGCACTGCAGTGGGCCGGTTCTGCTCCTCATCCGCTGGTCGGATAGAAGGACGATGCTGTTTGAGAAATGACAACACAAGTGACCCTGAACACATCATCGGGTAGGACTTTTTATGTCGCCTTCAGGGTCCATCGGAAATGTGAATATGTCAGTTATAAATGACGTATGTTGAAAGTGGAGGAAGACAAATATTATACAGGACACTAGTATAAATAGATAAGTTAAACTTGGTAAAAAAAAAACAGTCTTTAATAAAAGCTGCCAGTGCTTATGATGTATCCTTTCCCCTCAGTTTAAAAATATGAACTTTACTCTGCTTCCACACTTAAAAGTTAGATTTAAAAAAAATATGTTTGTTTTGTATATGTTCCAACCATGTTTTTTGTTTGCGTCAGGTTGGATCTGTCCTATTGTTCACTAACTCATGTGGAGGATCTTCATAGAGCATCAACAGCAGTAATGATGTATGTACAGTTACTACAATTTCATACAATATAGGATACAGACAAAATAACTCAAGACTTTGTTTGACACTTCCATAGTGAAGGGTTATTATTAATGCAAAGAAGAACATGTTGATTCTGCATGATTATTTTCACATCATAGACTGTATGATGCACATGTTCCGCATTATAAATTGTTATTTACAATTGCCCCAAACATAGAAATGTACATGGGCAAATGCTCTATATATCTGTAATATTGGTATAATTCTAAGGCAGTAGGAGACGTGAACTTTTTTTAATCCTAGCTTTCATTCTAGCAAGGAACCAAACTCGACTAATGAATGCACATCTTATTCACTGTATTTTTATGGAACCATTTGTCTTTTAAACAATTTTTCACAATAGGCCTACAAACTGTTGCTTTTCAGAGACCTCTCACTCAATCCAATTGTCAACATCAGTGAAGCAGCCTTCCAAGGATTCATTGAGTTAAATTACATGTAAGTATTCTGTTACAGAAACTCAAATATGACAGCAGCTCTCGAGAATAACATTTGAATTATTCATAACTCTATTTTTGCGCGTCGATAGGATTTTACCAGAAGACATATTTTGTCCAGGGGGCAACACCTCTTGGGAAAAGGTAGAGGTCAATAAGGGAAATCGTTTCTGTGAAGGCCAAAAAGATACGTGCAACCAGACCGGACAGCTGTGTAAGTTACCATCTAATACACTTAACATAAACCTGCAGTAGCTTTCTGGTCAAATATGACAACTGTCTTATAATTATTAACAATCCTCAGCCATGAACTGCCCGGAGAACTCCCTCTGCGCGTCCTACGGCCCGAGCTTCTTCGAGTGTAGCTGTGCTGACGCCTATCATGGATACAAGTGTCTGCGAGAGGTATGTTTTGGAGCAGCTTTATCTGAATCATTTCGTTTGGTACTTCATTTTTCACAGCTAAGTATTTATTTATTATTGTCTACAGGGGGAGTTCCCCCTTCTGCAGGTGTTTGCGCCTCTTGGAGCCTCTACATTTGTCATCTCGCTCCTGCTGTGGCTCACCCAGAGACGTAAGGCTGAGCCACTCTGAACTGCACTCAACTTTTTATAATCCCTGATGATCTACTGAGCTATAGTCGAAAGGGAAAATGCTGGCACAAAGTCTGAGGTGACCCCAGGCTTTTTTTTTAAACTACATTTTGTATTACTGTGTGTCAGCTTTATTTAATTTAGGTACATTTTAAAAACTGACATTTTTCATCAGTGCAATTTTAGGAAGAAAGTAAATTGAACATTTTAAATATTTCTACCTTTTGGCAATAATACCAATGTTACCACTTTCATTATCTTTTTTAAATGACACAAGATATTAATGAGCAAGTTATATTAAAGAGAATTCTGAGGCTTTGCTTGATATTATCTGTGCCGAACGTGCACTGAATGTGTGTAAGTGTACATGGAACTACTAATTTCACAAAGTGTTGCTGCATGTTGAACATGTGCTTCACTCACAGCAAAACCAAGTCCTGATCAAGAATGTTTCGATTTTTTACTGTATAATGTTACATTTTAAAAGTGAGTCATTAGCCGCTTTCACACCGCAGGACTTGCCGTACTTTAGTGCCGGCACTAAAGTACCACGGCACTGAATCCGCCAGGGGGCTAGTGCCAATCGGATTCACACCGCAGTACTTTCCCTGAGGCAAGATTACGCTGACGTCACTTCGTCTTCTTCTCTGGGTTTACTGGCAGGCCGCAAAACCACTTCACGGCGAGTACAAAAAAAAACAAGAGAAGAAGAACTACACGGGGGAGGGGGTAAAAAGCCCACCCGCTATACATGATATATATATATATATATAATAGGTAGGCTCAGCAGACAGACCTTAGTGCAAAGATAAAGTGTCACATGATTATCTACTAAATAGTGAATTCAGCATCAACTTCACCAAGATGAAGTTCATATCTTCCTAAGATACGTGATAACAATGGACTTTATCTTTATGTATTTATTATAAATTACCCCCTCAGGCTGATTTTGGAAAAGGACATTAACCGTTGTTTGGTGTTTTTCCCTTATTTATCTAAAACAAATGACATGATAAATTACTTGTGTTTATGTGTGTAAGACTTGTCTTTCTGCCCCTGCCATTGCTGCACAAGGTTGCAACATTGTAGATAAATTCAACCACCGACACCTGTCTGCTCTCACATTCTTCTATTCTGCAAATTTGGGGTGGGACACAATAAATAAAGCTTCGCCAGTTTGTTTGTTTTATTGCACAGTCAAGACATCACAATAACGGAATCACGCCTCTCAAGTAGCTTTTGCGAACATCGCTCAAAACATTTGGAGTTGGGAACTGCTTTCTGTAGAAGCTGCTGCATCCCGTCCTCAGAGTAAATTGCCAGAAGCGTCGACACTTCCTCATCATTCCACCGCTCCGGTGTTGTAGTACGTGTGGTCATAACTGCTTTAAAGTACAAAAAAACTACTCGCTCAGGTGTGGATGTGGTTTTGTAGCGAGGAAAACAATGGCTGCCTAACAAAAAAATGTCTGAGTCTAACGGGGCTTGGTTTGCAATTCGCCCAGCCAATAGAAATAGAATAGAAATTGGCACTCTTTTATCACCAGGTTCGTACCACCTCTCTAGCAGGGACTGAAAATGGCCCAAAGAGTTCCCGGCACTGAGTAGTCCCGGCGGTGTGAACGCGACATTATTGGTACTAGCGGAACTAAAGAACCAAAGTACCAGGGAAAGTCCTGCGGTGTGAATGCGGCTATTGAGTTGAACTACTACAGCACACTGTCTAGTCTTCACCTGCTTTTAGCACATCTTAATCTGAACACATCTGAATGTATCTGATCAAATGTGTTTAGTCCAATGTGAAATATGTTGATGTGAAAGTGGTTTTGATGCTTCTTCACAATGAGATTGAGAGTTTTAATATAAAATATAACAAACAGTACATATTGCTTGGATGAAATGTATTATTTATCATGTAATTGATACATGTAAGTACTCCTAGAAGTTAATAAATAAAGAGCCAGAAGATGCCTGAATATAAACTATTGCATAAATGGAATTAATAGTAGAAAATGACCATGTTAGTTGGGAATAAAATGCTGATTATAACTTTGGATTCCCTACTTAAGACTAAAATACCAAGTCATAATGAGATTTGACGCACGCTAGTGTCATGCGTTGAATTTCTGAGTTCCTTTGCCAGGAAATCCTAGTTTGCCTCTCACTCTTTTTATTCTGTTCAATGAATCGATGGTCATTAAAAAACTAGGCAGAGGGATTCTATGGCTCACAAACTCTTCACAGATACTGCAGCTTCGACTGTAATTAGGGAACCATTTCTGGCTGGTTTGAAATGGCATGCTGTGGTTGACAACGAGTGCATGTTTTCAACCGCATTGGAACTGTTCTGCTCCAAATACTGGCAATTAAATGTTCTGTTGTAAATAAACCTCAACGTGGATCCATGTAAACATCTTGCCTTTACCAAATGTATAAACAAAAACAGAACTACCCTCCCCACCTTAAAGGGAAACAAACCCTGGTAGTTATCCAATTCATCCATAAAACACACATGGACTCTGTTTAAAAAGCATATGCCATTTCATATATATTTATTGCATGCTCAGAGCATGGTGTTTTGTGTTGTGTGCAAACATTCAAGCTCAAACCATGGAGAACACAGAGAAACGGCCTCTGAGCTCAGACTGTCGTTCACTGGTCCACGTTCTTCACTCGCAGCACCACAGGGACCGAGGTGCAGGGGATCATTCCCAGGTCTGTGATGACCAAGTCCACGAAGTCAGGCGGCGTCACGTCGTACACCAGGTTCAGCAGGCCGAGAGAGGGCACTTTCTGCCAGTGCTCCAGCTGGGTCCTCCCCTTACGCGTCACAATGAGGTCGTCAGGGTCATCTGGAAAGCACAGAAGAAGATAGATGATCTAATCTAATGTTTGGAAGGAATTTCAATCAATGAGACAGTAGCTATTTAAGTAAGGATATCAATATACATAGATCTATTGATATTGATTCAATGATCAAAGAGGAAATATTATCTGCATTCCTCTTTTTTATTTAATAAAAACGAGAAATGGGGCACTTTATAGAAACAAGGTCTTTTTTTATTCTTTCTACTAAAATGAATATATTGTTTTGCATTTTAATGTCTGAAAGAGCCCAGCAATACAGTTTTAAAATCATATTTTATACGTGTTAGTTGGATTGAACGTCACTGCGTAAAATGGTCATATGACACGTCTCCTATCTGTTGCAATCCCTTGAATTGAATTAAAATAGACTTTTGATATCAGCAAATATGGTATAGTTACCAAAACGATTGATGTGACTGTATTATGATGACATTTGTGATTAAAACCTCTAATTTGAAGTGACAGGAACACAAATAAAATAACTTAAAAGAAACAAACACTTATGGTCCATTTTAGCAATCCACTGGCTTCCATACCTAGTTCATTGGACACGAAGGAGTCTGTCTGCACCCTCTCACAGAACTTGTATGTCTCACAACACACCAGCACAGGCACGTTGAAGGCTTTGGCCACCAGAGCGATCTGTGACGTGCCCACGCGAGACATCACGTAACCGTTAGCCAGCAGAGCGTGAGCACCGAGGAACACCTTCGATACCTGCGGAGGGCCACGTTCAAGGCACAAAGACAGAGTTAATACATTTGAGATGCTTTGGCTACTCATTGATTTATTATCTATGGAAGCTGGAAAGTGTGAATGAACCTCTGGGAGAATGTAGGAGACAGCGGAGATGAGGACGTAGGTGCAGCTGATGCCTCTCTGGACGAGGCGCCTCAGAGCCTCGCGGCCCTCCAGACGAGGTCGGCTGTCCACCACGATCACACGGAACTTCCTCTTCTTCTCAAAGGCCTCGCACAAGATGTGGTTGACCAGCGACGAGCTGAGCGAGGAGATAAGTAGTTTGAGGGGAAATGTGGAAGGAAGTCGGGAGTGTAATGGGCGAGACAGAAAAAAGGAAGAGAAAGTGCGAAAAGCAGGACTTAGGGTTGGATACATGAGTGTTGTATTCATTTTGCTTGACAACCAATGAAGCAATGCTTGGAAACAGGAAACTGCAGATTCTCAAACTAAACCAGACACCCAATTTGTTTTCCGACAAGTCAGCTTTGAGAGGCTTACCATCCATAAACTAGGATGACGTCTCCATCACTGATCTTTTCTATGGAGGACTTGGCGATAGCTTTAGCAGCGAGGAGAATATTCTCCTCGATGTAACGCTCGATACAGCTCAGCAGCTTGCTCTTCGCCTAAAGAGGAAATGTGGAAGAGAAGGATAATCAGTCACATTAACGCTTCTGTCTTTGTGGAATATGTTTGCTACAACAACTTAAGCTAATGGTCTCTGGCAACATTGTATGAGGATTGCATCATGTGACACTTACCTCTTCTTCTCTGCATTGACTAGGAATATTGGAGATCTCTTTCTTGATGTATTTGATCGCATTACCCATGCTGGCTGACAGGGGGCGACATTGATTCAGGAAACTGCAAGGAAAATAGGGGAGGAACATTATGTATGTGCAAAGCTGTACATTTTAATTTAAGACATTAAGAAAAGAGTTAGTTATAAAACTTATACCGATGATAAATAAAATCAGATTTACGTTGTCATACCTGATATATGGTTTCAACTTGTTGACCAAGTCTCTAGATAGCTCTTCATTTGGAGGTGTTGTATAGTCCCTTATTACCTAAAGCAGAGGAACAAACATTGCCTTTAGTTGTTGACATTTATTTGGTCCATAGTAATAACAATAATCAAAGAAGAAGATCATTTCTGAAGAAGCTGGATTGCTAGCTCCTGAAAACTGGGAGTCCAATGCTACATTTTATTGAGTGATAAGATGGAAAGTGAACTCTATTGCTGGTTTAGCTTTGTATGAGGATCAGTGGATGGAGTATGAATCAGTTACAGCATCAGTGCAAAAACATTTAGGCGAGGAGGAGTGTGTCTGAACCCACTGAACCAAACGAGTGAAGCCTTGCTTTTTGGAGCTGTTACGGTCTAAATCAGGGGTGTCAAATACACAGTGGGACAAAATAAAAAAAATGGGTACTAGTCGAGGGCCGGACTGGTTCAATGTTTATTGCAAAACGTATTGAAATGAACTTATTGCACATATTAAACCTGGAACTAACAAAGCTTAAATGATTGCCTATAAAAACAACATTAAACATTAAATAATCAGTTGCATTCATTTCTTATGGCTCTATCTGCAGCTTCCCCCCCCCGAGTCATTTCTTATGATTACATTTTTCAACAGGCCAGGAAACAAGAGCTTCAAAAAAACTATTCCCCTCAAAGAAAAAAACAAACATGCTCTGTTGTCGCAAGAAAAAAAGTGCAAAAGGAAACATCCATTAAACTCAGTGTGCTGCTCTGTGTTGCTAGTTCAAGCAGATACTTGGCATCTCATCTTGAGTGCAAGTTCATCAATGTTTGTGGTCAGGCTCTGAGCTGAGGAAGCCCTCAGGATTGAGTGAAGGTGTGCGTGCAATATACCGGCGGGCCAGATCTAATAGTAATTAAAAATTATACTGCGGGCCGAAATTAAATCTACCACGGGCCGGATTTGGCCCCCGGGCCTTGAGTTTGACACATGTGGTCTAAATGCTGTGTAGGAACGACAATGGAATGGTAAAGACCAAAGAGTGTGCTCTGTACCTGTTTGAAAGCATGCAGCAGGGCCACAGAGCGGGCGTTGGACCCCGCCACAATGCCCTGCGAATACTGGAGACCCAGACGGACAATAGCAGGATGAATCACTGTTGAGGGAATGCTGCAACACACAACAACAGTCAATACATGAGATTTAAAGTCATTGTAAGGGATTCAAACAAATTGCCGCGATTACAATCAAACGACTATAAGGGTATATTTTCAGCTTACCCAATTTGCTGTGTGAGAGGGGCTCTGCGACTGTACTGGTGCAGATGAGAAAACAGGCTGACTTTGTGGCCGTAGTCTAACCGGAGGGGGATCTGAAATAAAAAGCATTGGCTTTATTCTCCAGTCATTTCGAGGTTAAAAGTGAGATCATAAGGTTATAACGGAGTCACAGCACACATACACAAACAAACTCAGTTGACCAGAGGAAAAAACTAAAGTTGCTTTAGAGCTAACTGTATTTCATATTAATGGGAGGTTACTTTCAAATCAAATGTACTGAGACATGTTCGTGTTTGACCTTGGCAACAGACAAACATCTTTGTGTTATGTATGTTTTTTTAAATACTCTCCAAACAGAGCAGCACAACCATAATCCAGCACAGCAAACAGCTCAGTGTTGAGTTAAACGCACAAGAACAAAATGTACATTAACATGTAACACATTTTCAAACAAACGTATCCCAAAGACGCGCACATCTGTCGATCAAACAATACGTTTTCATCCTTTCATTTCGGTGTACGAAAACGATACAGGTTAGCAAACAAAACTAGACAAATGTCAATGTCACGCATTCACATGCAAGGAAGGCAGACCTCGAAATGTGCCGCAGCACTGCACCCTGGCGCCTGAAAGAAAAGCCAGGTATGATCACATGCAGTTATGAGTGCTGTTATTATCTCATGCAACGAGTGATGGAACATGATTAGCACACACTGCAATATTTATGAAGAGTATTTTAGGGTTGTTGTTGGTGACGCTCCAAAAACTGTTATTGTTGTAAGATATCCTAACATGAGGCAATCTGTGATGAAAAGTTACTAGATGACTCAGGCATTATTAAATGTAACTGGATAGAGCACAGATCCTCTTGATCACTTTCACTAAACGCCTGCAGCAGACATCATATTGTATTTTACTTATTTTCTTAGCGAAACCTTTCTGTTTTAGGAGTTCCTCTGAAAAGTCTAGATACCTACCTTGAGACCTATTGGTGGACAAACTGGACTAAAACAGCATAACATCCAGACTAAGCAATATTTAGTTTATGAATACAAAATAATAGAATGCTTGTTATTGATGATCAGTCAAAAATAAATAACCAAATCTTGAAGATTAAATAATAAACTAAATACGTGATATAGTATGTTATTTGCAACAGGTGGCTTTATTCATTTAATCAACAGTATTCCTTGATACATTTTGTGTGTTGTACATTTTGTCAACTCGTTTATTTAGTAGTTAATGCTCAAGATGTAACTAAAAAGCTAACACTTATGCTCATTATTTCAAACAGGCTTATGAGTCATGTTTTCTTAGAGATGAAGCATAACGTTTCTAACCTGTTGTTTCTCCAACTTCTTTGCCAGTTTCTTTAAAACCTCTGGGTTGTCCACTTGGACATGTTCTGGGAGCCTCTTCACCACTGGAAAAACATAAAAGCGTGACATTTGTTTAAAAAGGTATAACTTCAGATGGTCACCACACATGCTGACCTCCGGGCCGCTACAGTACCTGGCTGCAGCTCACTGGGTGCTGCTTTAGCTTTGCCCGTGGCAGCCGGCTGACCCGCGTCCCCCTTCTTTTTGGACGCCCTCTCAGACTCTTGCCTTGCTCTCCTGTCAGCTTTCATGTCTGCTTTACTCTTAGCGGGCTGAGGTTCTGACGCAGGCACAGGAAGTGATGCAGGAGCGGGCACTGCTGAAGGAGCTGAAGGAGCTGAGGGAGAAGCAGTGGGTTCAGGGTGGAGAAACATGCCTCATGTAACACATTGGGGTGCCTTAGACTAAAACAATCTCTGGTGCTGTCTACATTATGTTTACCCTTCTGTGAGGGTTGTGTTGGAGTTGGAGCAGCCGCACTGACAGGCTTCTCTTCGCTTTCCTTTGAAACATTTTCATCATTTTTCTCTTTGTTTTTCTTCTGCTGTTTCTTCTCTTTCCTCAGCCGCTGCTTCTCCTCTTTGGTCAGCTCTTTGCCTTCAATCTGTAAAGCATGTCAATACATGAGTCCATGAAAACATTACATCTTAGGAAGCCTTAAACTAGACTGTGCCACATGTTGAGAACATACTAACCTTTGCTTGTTGTATACACTCTTTTCCGACAGTTCCATCTGTAAAAAAAAAGAACAACAATACATGATGACATTAAATAGGTTCATCAGTATTTATGTACTCTTTAATGCATGGAAGCTCCAATACCTGCAACAGCCTTCTACCAGGTCTTTGGTTTAGGTGATGCTGTTAGCAGACACTAGCTTTATGCTAACGACCTCAGTCATAGAACTGGTTGGCTATTATTTCCTGCTACAATGACAACTTAAAACAGCCATTTAAGTTGTTCTGTTCATTAGAAAATAACATGATGAGAGGCTGATGCAATATCATCACAACACCGTTAAACTGGCTTGCTTGAAATGCTAACGTTAGCAGCACTAGCATAGAGGGAAATTAACTTTGCTACAGGCCAAACGAAAATACCTTTAAACGTGGAACGTAAGTGTAAGACATGTTGTCGTCGCACCCACGGTAAAGTAATAAAAATACCTGGGAACAGTTATAAAGTCCAGCTGTTACACTCTCACGAACTCACCTGTCACTCCACTGTCGGCCATGTTTACGATGCTGCTGAACTTCCTCTGCTGCTGCACAAACTAACCCCTGGAAATATTGTATCGCCCCTTGGTGGATAAACATTTAAGTGTTTCCTGTAAATGTATAAAAGATAGTTTGCTTTTTTATTTCTTTACATTCGTTATTTATTTTTGTTATAATTTTTTTTTATTTGTAAGCTTTAACGACTATCGTATCTCACTCAGGGATTAAAGCAGAGATGGAAGAAGTACTCATATTATTTAATCAAGTAAAAGTCGCAATACAGTGTCAAAATACTCTGCTACCATTAAAAGTCCTGCATTACGAATTGTATTTAAGTATTAGCATCAAAATATAATTTAAGTACCAAAAGTAAAAGTAGTCGTGCGGAAGGGCCAATTTAGGCGCCATATATTTCAAATGAATGTATTATTGATGCCAAATGTGTTCATCATTTCAATGATTCAATTGGTAAAAGTGGGGTTTATTTGAATTACTGATTGTGTATTACTAATCTAAATCTCCAAATGTACTAGTAACTACTTCTTTAACCCTGATTGAATCCTTGTGAAAAATGTGTTTTGTAATTACAAGCATCCCTTCAGTCTAAATGTTCAAATGTTAATATTTAAAAAATGTGGGGGGATACTATAGATCTAAAAGAAAGTGGTCCTAACTAATTCTATTGAATCCTGCAAGTATAAATGTTCTGTTGTAATAGCCATTTTGAAAGAGAATGTCATGCAGTTTTAAAAAAAACTCACAGAACCATACATTATTTTAAAGAATATGTGTCTTAAGTGTTTCATAGATTATCATTGGAAATTAGTGCAAAGTTAACAAAAACTAAATTAGCATTCATAATCAGACCAACAATTATTATTATTCTTTGGTTGTGAGAAAAAATTATAGAATGCTCCGTTTCATAATTGCCAATTCCATTTATAAACACACCATTATTTTCTACTGCCTTTTTGAATATATTGAAGAACATATAACGAAGACCACAGCTTCTCCCAAAAATATCCTTTAAAACGGGTAAGTAATATTAAGTCTCATTCATACAGGTTCGACTTTTTGGAGGAGGCTTTTTATGCTAAACAATGAATTGCAAATACTGTAAGAATCACATTTTATTTGAAATGTTGTACACAATGCAGTGTTATTATCAGACATTGACTGTACATAATGACTTATTTTTAATAATACTTGGACAAAGGCAACACATTTTATACCACTCTATAACTAATAAAACAGAAGAAAACCCTTACCAACATACACAAAAAAAAGTTTCAAATGGGCTTGTATTGGGACATTTTACTCTACGAAGCTATATTTCACATTTGGTAACCACTTTTAAAACTTTATACATTCAGAATAAATTATAATTCACCACTTGATGTTATCAGAAATCTTTATTTACTTTTTCAAACATAAATGACCATGCAGAGAACAACCAACACTAAACTACAGAAACAAATAAATAACATCACTGTCAATAAACTACCACCTCTGTAAAAAGCCGCACACACCACACTCTGTCTTTGACTCCACGCTGACTGAATTCACGACGCAGTAGCTGGTTGAAGGGGACCAAACCTCACAGAAACACCTGACTTGGTTCCGTTTGACCAGCCACAGCAAGGTGTGTTGCTTCAGCTGCAAAGGGCAGTGAGAGCAGGAGGAGAGGTTACAGGGGGTCGAAGACGTAGAAATACAAGGATAGGAGAGGAAATGGAAGTTGGACATCTTCTGCGTGGTCATCATGTCCTCTTCAGCCTTACCTGATGAAACAGAGAGAAAAGGAACATCATTAGCACTGAAATATACACAACAGAAACAAGTGTTACCGAGCAGATAGGTATTTAGAGGTTTGGGAACCCATGACATCGCCCCGTTTCCTTCCAAATCCAGCCTGCAGGAGCAAACCTTCACTCTCAGTGACATCCCTCCCCTCTTCCTTTTTTGAGAGTTGCTATAATGGGTGACAGCTGTGGTCTGTCAATCCTCCTTGACTGTCAGCCGTTGGGGCAGGGCAGGAATTTATTCAAGAAGTCCCTGAGACCCGATCATCAGCACTGAGTAATTCTAACTGAGCATGTGTCTGAGCTGAAGGAGGGAAAAGGCCTTTCACCTGTTGCCCTGCCACACACTTACACACATGCTCATGAACTCTGACACCCCCCAGCCCCCCTCCCTCATCTCATAAAACAGACAAAGGCACACTCATGCTGAATGAAAACTGACATTTTCTACCATTCACTTAAATAAATATGTACAAAATGAAATCAGCGTGGCTCTTCTTCCCAGTGGGGTTGGCGCTCGAGTCCCATTGAAACCACACACTTCCTTACATTCCATAAGTGGTGAATTAATATGGCGATATAAGGAAGCATGTCCTCACAAGGGGCAACAACTGGATTCTCCTCGGACACAAAGCACCCTTTCATATAGTCACAGTTGCAGAGTAGCAGGAACAACCGGCCTAACAATGGTTAACTGTGACAGAGCTACAGACACGTGACTCGATCATCTGCGCCACAGATTTATTAGACATTCAAAGTGTGGTTTGAGAAAATATTACTTTCACATTTAGTTACATTTTTGCCTATTTAAGGTTCATTTTCCAGATGTTATCTTTTAGCAAAAAGCAGGACCTTCTGATACAGAAAGAGACATATGACCTACTTTGTTTGTCCCTGAAAGTATTATATTAGATTGATACTGCTAAATAACACACATCTCCTTTATGGGTAGGCCAAAGCGGTGATGCTGAACTCCCTTGTGTTTAAATAACTCTGGAGGGTGAAGCAAATTCTGACTTCCAGCCGGCAAAGGTCAAAATCTGTGCTATCTCCTAAAACATTATGTCATGCCAAGTTATGTTGATCCCAACAACTGTGTAATTAAGTCCTTTTGTAGGAACATACATAATAAGAAAGCAATGTTTAAATGGCTCACATTTGAAATGCATTCGTACTCACCTTTATTTAATTCTGCTGTGTCTCCTCTTGTGGTTTTCTGCAGCTGGAGTTGAGCTTGAGGCCACTTTGGGTTCAGCCTGATTGTCCTTCTCTGTCTACTGGTGACTTCCTCAATATATCTACATGCTGCTATTTCAATCTGACCAAAATGGCCATTAGAAAGCCAAACTTCTACTCTGATTAAACTGTGATGATAATTTCCTGATTCTTTCCTGTATCACACCTCAGCTTCCCCTAACCTGACAGAGGTGTCAGGCTCTGCCACCGTGAGTCTATCGTAAATCTTACGAGAAACATTTGCTTTGACGCCTGATTCCACCCAAATGGTGCTGCAGATCATGGAAACTAAGGACTAAAAAGTCTGCAACATCTGAATCTGGAAGACCCTTGACTCAACAGATGTCACTATCCATTATGTAGCTGTCAAATATTAACCTTTTGGACTAAACCAAAAAATTAAAGCTTGGTAGAAAAAGTTGTCCAAAAGTTGGGTTTAAAAGGAAAACTAAAAGCAGAAAGACACAAAAAACCCACCAAACCCTGAGAACAACTTAACTCCTTGTCCCTGAAGCTGCCCTTTCCACCATTTGAAGCCCAAACTCATCTCTCCCTGAGCTTCCTACTGCCTTCGCTTCTCTTCACCTCCTGCGATCAACCATCCTCGTCCATATCTGGCCCGGTGGATTGTGCTCACTACAGGCCTGGCAGACCGGCCTTTTCTATCCCGCCAGGAGCGCCCCCCTCCAAAGCGGCCTCCCACCTGTTGGTGTCCTTTAGAAGCCCGGGCCTCTCCTGCGCCTCCTGTCCGGCCCAATCAGGACCCTGACAGGGGGGAGCCAGCCTGTGAAATCACACCTCTCAGCTGTTCGCACTGGGCTCGAGACACCCTACACCCCTGCCGTTCCTCTGTTCAGCCCCCCCGCCCCCCTCGACTTTTTTTTTTTTAAATGGACAAAAAAAAAGGGGAGAAAGGGGGATACAGAGAAACAAGGAAGCAACTGCACGATGGGCGTGTTTTATTGGGTTTGGGTGTACAGTCAGAACAGCAGTTACAGCAGGTCACAGCTGAACACTAGCTTGAGTTTCATCCCAGTTCGGTTTCAGCGCTTCCTTCTAGTTTCATTGTATCCTTTTCAGAGAAGGAAAAGTGAGTGTTGTGTCAAAGCATCACTTACATTTTTCATGTGACGACCTTTGTGAAGCAAATACAAGACAAATCAACCAAATGTGGTGTGTCCTTTGATAAACTGTAACATAAGCCTCTGATAATGAAGCACACTTAATGATATGTGAGGAGTGTGAATATGTTTTATGGGTGCTCTTGTGGCACCATAAAAACAAGCAATAAATTCTCCGGTGGCCCCAAGGTGACCATCTTGCCACTATGGCACTTAGAAGGAAACACTGATGTAATATAAGATGTGTTTGTGGAGAGGCCAAATTAAAGAGATTGTTAACTAGAGTACGTAACTAAAAGTTTTAAATTAAAGGGCAACACTTTCTCATCAGCCATTATGAGCCACTTAGCCACAAGTTTCAGCTTTTTTTTCATCGCACTTGCTAATTATCTTCTTAATGATCGTATAGAATGTGTAGATCCTTATATGTGTGGCCCCACGGTGATTACAGATACTGTAGAGGGAAACAGGCCGAGCTCAGGGGTTCATTTTCCTCTGCTGCAAGCACAAGCCGCTCTCTAAGGTCAACACCTGTGTTCTAAAACCAGCGCTGGGGTTGGGTGTGATAGGAACCTGGGCCTCATTCACAGAAAGCTCCAGCTCAGAGAGGAGGGCTTATATTGAAACTTAAAACTCTCGCTATTTTCGAGGCACTCGCCGTCCACAAATAGCCACCCCATCGCATCTTTGTAGCTCCCGTTTTTTGCTCTACGCCACAGGATGTCGTCTAAATTCGACAGTTGCTTAATATTTCCCATGGCCCAAAGCCAGAGTGTATCACAAATGCAACATTTCCACTAATGTCAGCTATGCGCCAAGTCTCTGCCCGATATATCTGGGGAGCTAGGAATATCCGAGCACTTTTGTTGTTGAGTGAATTCTTGGTCGCTCACACC